CCAAGAGATAAAACCATCGTTATCACATTATAGTTCCATTTCGCTGCATAATGGCCAGAAGTGAATGACGGAAGAAAAAGATCAAGTGGTATTGAGGATGCCATAGTACGCTATATTCCTAATATTGTTCATGGATTCGTCTATGAACCCTAGAGTAAAATTAGGTAAACTAAACCGTGAATATATAAACTGGTAAGCGAAAAATCCATGATACGCCATACCGTCTTGTAAAACTTCGCAAACTCTCTTATTAAATCATGGTGATAAAATGGTGATCAACAGTATGAAACGTTCGTCCTCTAGAGCTACCTATTCCATTCGATATTACCATAAAAATTCGATCGGATTCAGAAAAGCACCGAAAGTCTGTACTTCGATGTCCCCAACCCCACAGCTTGTTACTGAGACGATGAAATCAAATAGGAAGAATTGCGACAATAAAATTGACGTCAGTAGCATTACTCGAAGGACAATAGTGCAAGACACTCACCCGTAGGAGAATACTCGTGTCGGCTTCCAATGCGAGACCACAGCGGCATAGAGACCGACAACCAGTGCGGTGGAGTCGAACAGCATGTGAAACCCATCGGAGATCAGACCCAAACTATTAGTCCAAACACCATAGAGCAATTCAACGAAGGTGAAAGACTGAGAACCGAGAGTAGGGGAGAAAAATGGGATATACTACGGACGGAAATAAATCCTTTGTGACAGCTCCGCCATTCAAGCCTGAGCGGACGCAATGAGTCCTAAACTTGGAAATTGAGACAACCCTAACCCCATGTAAACGGACAGCTCACAATGAACACTTTGGCTGCAATAGAATGATTTTGCAAACGGATAAATGTCAGTACAACAGATGTGAGGGGCACCCGAAACGGACCATACATGTAAGGAGTCATGATATAATCTATGACTGCGTGAGCCCTCCGACCCTCATTGAGAGACTGCGCTGTGACTTGCCACTGCCGTTGCTTTCCGGAACTTCAGCACTCGGATGCACGAAATTGGTATTATTCCCTCTCGTGTACTAGTGAGTTTATGCTTCCAGTGACGAACTGTATGATGCAAAAACATGATGTACTATTTGGAGTGCTCAACAGCAAGCAACCTCACAAAAAGTATAAAAGAGGAAAACGCCTTCTTGTCAGTTAGAAAAACGCGCTCTCTGGTACATTACACTCAGCACGGATATTGTTGCGACAGCTGTGAGAAAGAATTATCGAACTCTGTTTGAGGACATCCCGAACCTTAAGTAGTTGCTTCAAATGAAAGACGTATTCCACACCACTAGGTCATCACAACACTGCAATCAGGTTGTGATGCGTCATCTGTGCGATCGATCTTCGGTTACCGTGATGTATAGACCCTATTTTTCACTCTAAAATTGACTTTTCCCCCTATTTTTCCCACTTTTTCAATTATCTTTTATAAAATTTAAATTTCCGAATTTTCGCACCAAGAAAGACTCTTTCTGCACCACCGTCCATCCTGTCCCTGATTGGTCCGTTTTTTCTCTGACCCATCACTTTTGAGCTAATTTACAAGGTCACCGACGGCCGGTCCCCAATTTGTATATAAAACGGTTGAGCTGTTCAGTCTCATCGCCTTTGCGGGTCGAGCCAAATATACAACCTTGTCTGAAGGCCTGCCTTCCTCTTTCTTCCTGGTCGGGTTCCGGGGATAGTACGGGTCCACGGGTCGCTACTATCGTTACCGTTGTTGGCCGTGTCACTTTTGGGTACCGCAGTCGGGCACCTCGAGATCGCCACTCCACCGCTGGGTCGCACGGTTCGTTCAGTTCACGGGTCTACACATATCGCTGGTCGGGTCCGTACGTTGCAACACACCGCAAATGAATGGCTCGGGTCAACCTCTTTTGTGCACATAGATCGGGTGTGAACAAGCGAATGCCGATCGCTTCCGCAGTGGCTAGGTTGTGGAGACGTAGCGACTTGGGTGGATGAGGTGGTACTCGATAGGTATCTTTGAAGGCTGATACAGGCTTCATTTGGTGTCCTGAGTCTGCTAGGTGAGCGAATATAGCGCTTTCTGTGACAACTTTTCTATCGTGGACAGTATCCGTTAATCCGCTGGGACAGTTGCCTGGCCGTTCGACCAATATGGGTTGCGTTACAAACACCGCTGAAGGAATAGATAACCAAAGATGACGCCAGCGCAGGTGTTTTCATGTTCTCTTTATTGGCTGCATTAGAGGTTCCTCTCACAACAGGCGCTAAACGTTCCCTAATCAGATTGGACAGGTCGTCCTCCTTGGAGTGACGCTTAATAAATAGCTTTTTCTTCGAAGTTTCCTGATCAGGCCCGTCTTTCGGTCTTTCTTCTAGGTGGCATTCGACAAACCTTTCAGGGTATCCATTTCCCCTCAGAATGTTTTTAATCTGATCACGTTCATCTGCGAACGTGAATTCGAGGCATATCTTTCATACGTGCAAGACGAGGCACTGAATAAGGTTTCCCCTTCTGACCCTGCGCTAATGATCACATAAAGTCCAGCATGCACTCGAGATACAACCAAATGGTCTAGGATACATTGTGCAAACTTGGACTTCTCTATTTAAATTCGCTACGGATAAACTGCGCTCCCCATTTCTCGAACGTCGTCTACCTATGTCTGTGATCAGGCAGAAAAAGGGATCGACAAGTTTGGTGAAAGACTGCTATGCTATGCAGTGCACAAGAATTGAGTTCTTGTGTTAATGTACCGTTATACAATTTCTTATTGCAAACGCTTGTGTCACGAAAATATTCGCCCTACTTCTAAATAGTCAACTGTTTTCCAACTGCATTCATATGCAGTGCTACGCAGTAAATGTAACGGACAAACAAAATTTTGTCTGACAGAACCCATTATATGTCGATCTATCTGGATGCCAATCCCATTTATCCACCCAATCTAACTACCAACTCAGCCCATCTCGCACATCCGTGGACAGAAACCCTCAGATAACTTAAGTTGCCCGAAAACCCACTGAAAAAGTAAAAATCAAATTTGGTCTCTACAATTTCTTCATTACCTAATTAGCGTCTTTTATGGTCCCTTTATCATCTCGACCTTTTTCCGGTATTGCAACGGTGGTAAATTTCTCACTGAAAACTTGTAAATAACTTGCTAATGCTACAATATGAGGGAAAAGATTAACCTTACAGAGAGCAATGTTCACTCACCAAGTTTAGGCAGAGAAACACGAAAATACGACGAGACGATTGCTCTGACATAATACCACGCAAAGTCTCTCGCATATGATAACCCAAACCCATGGTCTCCGGATTGTTCAGTAAAGCCATTCCATGGGATGGTGTCTGACCCGGGGTGAACAAGGGCAATCCGGCCATGGAATAACCTATGAATTGGCCACTGCTTCCACCTTCTGGACCTTGGCCAGGTTTGACTTGTGTTAAAAGTGTGGTCGCTGAAAAGAGTGTGACAAATTAGCAACAAGATATTGGGGAGCTCAAAGAAATCAGAATTTATACACCCATTCCAAATCAAAGTGCAACTTTCAAACAATTAACAATTAAGTAAACAGCTAGTGATCCTTCAAGGACAGCAATAAAAGCTGAATACCGTTTAATCTTTCTTGGCTTACCATAGAGAATAGCCATTGCGGCAAACACTACTCCCGTGGATAGTGCATGCGTTGGAAGGCGCGACACTTGTGCGGCTTGTTGTATGTCCGTTGAGAAACTCAAGAAGCCTGTATTGGGAAACCATAAAACACTGCAAAAGGGAGATACATAAGGGATAAACTGATCGAGAACAATCAACAGGTAATACATATTAAAGGATAAGATTACTAACACCAAAATTACCAAATGAAAAATTTTGGAAGGAAATTTTGATAACACTGACTGTTGATACGCGATTTGTATCTACGATACTCTGCTAGTCTTTGCTCGAACATACGCACACTGAGGTCAATAACAATATTATAAAACAATTCGAACGTCTCGGATTCTTGTTTATGTTGGTTCTGTAATTATAAAACAATACGTTAACATACGGTATGATAAAAAATCAGGTTGAAATCGAAATGAAGTGTACAAATTAATTTGACCAGCAGTCCAACAAAGAGCACCAATGCGTGATAGTCGGAGCAAAAAAGTAAGAAAACCACGATGGTCGACCGCCAAGACAAGGACAGATTAGTCAACTAAAAGGAAAGCAGGAAAAAGGGAAGGGAATAGAGTTTGACTACAGACAACAGCCAATAATCGTGATGGTACAATTAAACCTGCCCAGAATATTACACTCTCAAGATGCATTGAAAAGAATAGTTGGTTAAACATCGATATATCAAGCTTCTGGTGAAACAGTTTTTAGGACAAAATACTTGTGGCACTTGAAAAAAACTCGAGTGTGCGCTCGTTGAATTATTCCTGACCATTCGAGGTGAATAGATATGACCACCAAAGTTCTCTCAGGATGGGACCATGCGTATCACGATTACTAACTGAACAACAGGCATTGCGTTAGCATCCAATAACAAAATTCCAAAATAGAAAAAGGCCTTCAATCAATGGGTACCGCAGTTTTGTAGGATTAACCCGGAAGCTGTAAAGCCTTCTGCCAGTGTTTTTATCACACATTTTTGTGTGATGAACAGCAGACAGGGTTCTACAGTCGCGAAGACCCGCTATTCAGTGATGGAAACAGGAAACCTAAGCCTCGGGACTTGGAGTGGTGAACTAGCTGGGTCAGGCGTGGTATCAAGCCGGACGACAGCAAAGCCGTTTACCAGAAGAGTTGTATACCATTGGGCGATAAAAATAGTTAACCTTGGGTATTACTTCACTTACTCACGACCGAACAGTGGATATGTAGGGTTTTCTCCAGGCAAGCGAAATCTTTGTGATTAAAAGTCACCAATGTCCACCAATAAATAAGAACAAAATAACCGTGTTGGTCTACGAGTAGCACCTAGATGTGCAAGGGATAATGGTTCAACTTCGAAGAAAAGGATTAATGGTATTTGTACAATTTGCCCAATGTTTTTTTGATTCACTTCATCTACACGGGATGGTAGTGTAAGTCAGGTAAAAGTACGTGAGATTCTGATAATACACCATTGAATACAAACATTCTCCTGCTATGTCGCACCCCTCGGGAATCCAAAAAGCGGGCAAATTGCAGGAACCCCGACATTGTGTTACTCAGTAGTAGATGCTATTAAGTAGCATGAAAAATCTGTTCAGAGTTCCGTGACAAAAAAAACCGGATCGATGAATAGTACGTCAATTCCGTTGCTTGTTCCCAATGTTCATAATTATGTACTGTTTGGTGAAAAACGAAATTTAGATAGGCCGTCCTCTGTATCCTTTATCTATCGAAGAAATTGAAATCTTATATGGTACCGTCAGCTTAATATCAGTACATTGCTTCCAGTATTCAGCCTATTCTCAGTTTCAAGTGTCTAGTTATCCCGCAAATACGCATCTTTTCTAACCAAATTACTGCATATTAACCCCAGTACATTGCAATGTTAGACTAACCACGGACTTGAGCATATGGCGTTCACCATAATACACAACTGTTTTAGCTATAATAATCACATCAAAATTAATCCATTCAATGAAAGCAAGAATGAACCAGGTTGAACACACGGAGAAAACAGAACAAAATCGTATTCGAAAGAAATCACATAAAATCCGTGAAAAATTTGTTAGAAGGCATACTCAGTAGTTCAAACTGATTGCTTGCAGTGTAATTCTGATTTTCTTGTGAAAAATGCGTACCATTACTTCTGTGAACCTCTAGTTGTTCGTTCGCTTTTGTTGTTGCCAGTATATGTTCAAACTGATCGATAAATTCATTATAGCCAGTGTCGGTAAACAGATCAAGTTCAACAGGTGATTCACAAATTAGAAGTGTATCACTCAAACAGTCAGGGGCGCGTCACACCCGGGCTCAGATGACCTTTATGACTTGTTGAATTTCATCGGAAGCAAGGACAGGTGCGATTTTCGTTCATTCATTCACACGGGCGCGTCCGAGCGACGGCGTTTATCGATCGCTTGGATGTGACATTTCAATCCACACACACGGTCAATCAGTCCAGCGCGATAATCGATCACTCGTTTACATGTCAGTGAAACAGAGCCCATGGATAGACCGAATAGCCGTGGGCTTCGGTAATCACGACAACAAAAATGACCACATTTGATTGTCTCGGGAATTGCAGAAGAAACCTTTGAAGCTACCAAAGATACATCTTAACTAATCAAAAGTCGTCGTTTGTCTCAGACTGGCTCCTTTGGAACTCAACGAACGAGTTATTTAAATCAATTGTAGATTCCAATAACCAACCCGAAACCCGAGCATAAGCCAAGGGACACAGCTTGATTGAATGCCTCTCTAAATGAGATAACATCCAGTGTATTCACTGCTTCATATTCATTTTCTTTGCGACGCTTAGCTTACTCGAAACGAGTCCATCTAATATCGGATGACTGGAAAAATAACCCACTTCTTAATCATAAAGTTCTAAACGGGTGATTTCTTCTTCAAAAAGACGCACATCAATAGACACAGTGAGTAAAGTCTTCAATCTGAGTTTAAACCCAGCTTTTACGAAAGCGGATGCACAAACACCCAAGCTCTTTTCATCTGAGGCATGCCCATGAGGATATTCACTTAGGATTTCAGGCTAAGTTGATCATCTTCAAACAAAGACAAAATATATTACAGCAAATGTTTCCGAAACGAACATTTGAAAGAATGAATTACATTCCATTTTGCTTGCTCACCGAGCTTGGTTTTTTGCTTGCAAACGTTTCATCACCAGCCGAGGTGACATCGTCTGACGTTTGAAATTTTCTAATAGCCAACATTGATAAATCTTCTCCGATCATGCTCCCACAAAGCCGTAAGGCGACACTTTATTTGGGTTTCTTGGATTCAGAAACTGTTACTCTTTTGAAACAATGTTCTTTTTGGAAGTTTCTTATAATACAAAGCTGTTTTATCTGTACTGAAATTATCACAGTCAGCGTATCCACCGCAGTTGACTGCGGTAAACCCGCTCGAAATTCGTCCATTGCATCACCTAGTACAACTAAATATTCTCCACAAGCCTATAATGTAATGCACGTGAGTAGTTGCTTGTCTCTTACTCTGTAGGATTGGATAACACATCTGTCTAACTGAGAGCGAAATCAACTATTGGAAGGTCACGATGATGCATTCTTTGTGCAAACTGGATTGCTCTCTACCAAGGGGAACTAACCGTGCTTTTCCCTCAGCAGTGAATCAAGCCAAGATTGCCCCATTCACCATCTTCATTTTATCGTTGGTTCTCAGGAAGTGTCCTTCTAGAGATGCTCCAGCGTTCACAAATTATTCGATAGCGGTTCGATGAGATACAACATTAGGAACAGCTTTTCTTGAAATACTGAGTGATTTGGATAAGGAGCTCTGAGTTGCACCTGATTGATTCAGCATTTTCAAAACATTCTGATCAATACGCGCTTGCACATTCAAGTTAAGTGACACCGTCTTCAATTGTTTAAATTGTTGTTTGAAGATTGAAATTTTTGTCGAGACTGTGAAAAGTTCAGTAGCCCCGGTGGGATTCCAATCCACGCATAGACGCCAGTGAATTCTAAGGAAAACCTGTCGGAGCTGTCAGCTTATATGTTTACTGGTGGATGTCATATGCCTCTGTAAGTTGGATCGGTAATTCAAATGTCTTCAACTGTTGGCATTGGTGTGTCTTCCTCGCAAGGATCATCTAATTAGTGAACAGCATCATGTTCGCATCAAACGAGGTGAAACGCCATTGGTTGAGTGCGACATTGCAGGCTGGTTGAACAATGGTCGTCCCGAACATCGGTCAACGACCAAGTAGGTATCAGGAACTGCAACATATTGAGGAGGGTATTGAACGGTCATACGCATACGGTTGGTTTCCGCTTTCCAAAATGTGGGAAGATATTGAAAAAGGCGACTACTTAGGGGTGCGACATAGCTGGAGATTGACTGTACTTGAAAAGAGGAATGGGTGATAAGACTAAAGGGGCAATAGTTGTCACTGAAAATAATGATTGCGCCATCAATAAATAGCAACTATCACGACAAACTGGAGATTTATATTTCTAAATTAGCAACAGATAATGAAGATCACCTAACTACATTTCTGCATATGGTGACGAAATCCGACATGCACCAACTCCAGTTGTAATTATAGTGCTGCGATCTAACCTGATTTGTCACTCGGTTTTCCTAGAGAAAGGCATTTTTCCTTAAGCAGATCTGTGCACTCACTTGTTTCTCTCTACTGAGTGAACCCCGAAAAACGTTAGTATCGCATCTTACTTGCCTGCCGATAATGAATTGTGTGGCAAAATATGGTCGAGAAACAATAGCAAATTTAGAAAACATAAAACCTAAACCGCAGGTGCTTTTTGATTCAACATGAAACCCTGAATACAGTGAACTGGATTCAGCTAATAAAATTATTAATTTGTGATGATAATTTTGCTTACATCGTACTTTGGTAGAAACTGAGAAGTGAATTTCTTTAAGAAGTATCGCACTTTCTACAAAATTGCGCCTCAAGTTAAGTGTTTTGTTACGCAGGTGAAGCAAGAGATCCCTTAAAATGAAGTTATAACTTGGTGAAAAGATAACATGGTTGGTTAAAAACAGGCGTTAAATGAGTAGACGTTTTAGCCGACAAGTGAATTGTACAGAAAGTGACCAGTTACCGAAATCGAACCCGGGCACGAGGGTTATCCATAGCACCAGAGCGGAGTAAAAAGTTTTCGAATATGCAGTACACGCACGAGGGGATGACCGCGCGAGGAAAACATGAACTGTAACCTACTGTGAATATTGTTCAGTGATTGCAACTCATAGAACCGAATATCAACAACTGAGCACAGCTCACAAGTTATAGGGGTCGCTATAGTCGGATTCTAAGGATGGAACTCAATAGATGTGACCGGAGGGCGACGGTTTTCTTCGTCTATAAAGGTGGCAGCAGAGAATTGATCGTTTGCGAGTTACCTTCGGTGATGACGCGCCTTCACGAAGCACTGTTCCCATATGTCAAGCGCCTGATGCATGAAATCCGATACGAGTCGCCAACAGCTGCAGCTGAACTGGCAAAGGGCTACTCGCTTCGGCTTGGTCGAGCTGTTCAACCAAATTGTTTGAGGGCACAGAACTGTACAGGAACGCTGGAGGAGAATACTTTGAGAAAATGTAGTGCTTATTTTAGTGTAAAAAATAAAACGTTTTTGCATCCGGAAACGTTTTGCTCAGATGGCGTACATGCAGACTACTCAGCCTATCCGCGTATAAAATTCGTCAAACGAACGTTAACAAGGATTTTCGGTGGTGAAAAGCACGGTGACTTTGAACGACGAA